TGATTATAAGTAGTTGATTTCCATTTTCTTCATCAAATATGAATCTTCAAGGGAACTTCAATGTTGATGTCCTTTGTTCATTATTTTTTCTGGTGACTTTTGCTTTTATTTTTCATAATGGAACTGGTAAGATAGAAAATCAAAACTGAAAGAAACAACAATAGCAAATTGATTCATTAATTCAAAGCATAGAAAAGTACAACAAGGAGGAGAATTCTTGATAGCTAACTATTACTCTCCCTTGGATCATATTACAAAAAGGAAATACTAAAAATAACTAAAACTAAAGCTCAAAGTTTGATGGGTTACCTTCCATGAAGCATGAACTTTAAGGTCATTAGCTTGACTCTTTCGTCTAAAAGATACGCGAGCATCAAAGTTACCTTATTAGATGTTATTTCACCACCATAATAGATATTTATCCTTTTGTCTTTTAAAGTAAAGGTGTGTGAATCCCCTGGATCTTTTATTTCTATCGCACCATCTGCAAATACTTTATTATGAATAAAAGGACCATGTATTTTAGACTCTCATTTACCTATTAACCGTTTCAATAGAGACTTATACAACAAAACCTTTTGTCCCATCTAAAATTCTTTTGTCTCTAACTTCTTTCCGCAATGCCTTTTAGATATTTCCCTCGTCACATTTACTTGGTAACACCGAGGGTTTTCCTTATGGTGTTTCATTGCTTCAAACACATTGAAGACAACTTTTTCATCATCAAACCTCAATATTAACTCTCCCAGTGCTAAATCAATGAGAGATTTACCTGTTGTTAGGAATGGTCTTTCCAACAGTAATAGGGTCTCAAAATCTTCAAGCATGTCATGAGTTACGAAGTCAACTAGGAATAATAACCCATCCGCCCTAATAAGGGCATCTTCAAAAACTCCATAAGGATAGGTGATAGAACGATCGCCTAGTGTCAAGGTCATCTGAGTTGGCTTTGGTTCCCCATAATTTAACTTCCTCATCATAGATAGCGACATAAAGTATGACCAATAGTTTACGAACCAATGAAAAAAGGAGTAGTAAACCTATATGGATTAGTGAGTTTGGGTGGAACCTTTCTCTGAATGATTTCGTTGCACTCTTCATCCAAAGAGATATTTTCATCATGTTTCAACTTATGCTTTCCCGATAAGATATGTTTCATGAATTTTGCATAAACAGACGTTTGTTCGAGAGCTTCACAAAATGGAATGTTTACCTGTATGTTATTCAACATATACATAAACTTTATAAACTGGCCTAGTTCCTTTTCTTTCTTAGGTGTCTTCTTTAAAATCGGGTAAGGTGGTTTGATGTAATCAGGTAGCTCAGGATTTGGTTCATTCAAGATATGTTTCTTGGTTCTTCTGAAGGGTAAGTTTTTATAAATGAATTGGTCAATGGTGTATCCTTAAACTTCATCATCACTATTATTCTCACTTTTTTCCCTCCAAATTTTTCTCAATCTCCTTTTATACTACCACTTCTTTTCCATTCTTTTTCTCAAATTCCCTAGATTCTTTCTTTTCTTCATCCGCTTTTGGTTTTGACGGTACCATAATGTTTCTCAACTCAATGTCTTTGTACATTTCATTTTTTAGGTTATCCACATTGTTACCTATATATCCCCCACTTAAACTAGCTTGGGCTTTAATTTGTTGAGACAATTGACTGGTTTGTATCACTAAGTTATTTATTGAAGCTTCGGTGTTCTTGTTCACGGTGATCTAGTTTTGTGGCATTTCCCTCACAGTCTTAAACATATCTTCTTGATTTTTACTAACCCATTCAAAACTTTATTGAGTTTCTTTCATGAAGTTGGCCAAGGTTTCCTCTAAAGGTGGTGGTTTCCATTGAGGTTCTTGGGGAACCTATTGAACTCCTTGATTAGCGCTCAAAGTATGATGGTTGCTCCACTTGAAATTTAAATGATCTTTTCAAACAAGATTGTAGGTGTTGGAAAAATGATCTCTACATAAATTACACCGAAGTGTTTAAACTTGAGTAACATTTGCTTGGGCTAGTTGGGACGCAACTAACTATTTATAAAGTACATCCATTTAAACTAATAATGATGTGTTTGAATCAACTGCGTGAATACCATTTTTCTTCACCGCTCGATCACTTGGGTGATACTCATTATGCCATATATTTTCAATCAACGATCTTCAAGAACTAAGCATTTGAGTAATATATCTCTAAAAATTTGTCTTCTATATCTTTCCAGGTATGAATAGTACCATTTGGTATACACTGCATTACAGCCAATCCATAGTGTGACCAATAAAAGAAAAACCAAACAAACATAATTTTATTTGATCGCCAGTAATATCGTTATTTGGCTTGCATATTAAGCATGTCTCATAGAATTTATCAAGATGCTCCCAAAAATCTCTAATTGCTTTCCTGTTCAACGGTTATCCTTCAAACTTGAAATTATAAAATGATTAATATCAAAAGTTACAGGATTAGGCGGTTGAAATCCTAAAGATGTCTGGCCAACATCGGTTCTCCTGCAATAATCTGCCAACATTTGTCTTGCGGGAGCTGCCATCTATTCTTTTTCTTCTTTTGGTTCTTCTGTGACTTGTATTACTTCTCATTTTTCTCTATGAATTGCATGAATTATTCTTTCGATATCTGGGTCTATCTATACCAATATCGAATATGAACCTCACATAAATAAACAAACAATACCTGCAATTGGATCAACATCTCTGCCACTTATTTCCACTACTGTGTCAATAAGTCGCAGTTAATTTACTGTTTTTCTTCCAAAAGGGCGTGAGTAGCCTGCCACTCAATCCACATAAAGTCCCATATCAGAGCCAAAAAATCAAAAAATCAGATATAATAGTGAATGCATCTATTCAAACCCATATAATTGACAATATCCAGCCAATGAACAAAGATCACAGACAATATCTAGCCATTGGACACAAGTCCTGACATACTTATAAGATAGAGAAACTATGACTATAGTAATTTATGACACTGAAATTATATGGATTCATAAAATGGAAGAGTGAGCGGTGTAATTTAATAATGATGAATGATGTCGGAGGTTCATCCATCGCACCATTCCCATAATCCCCACAAGCTAACCTCTTTGTAACAGGTGGAATGAGAGAAATACCAAGCTCGTCAATAGACTTGCGATGCTTCTCTGTGAAAGGATTGTTCCACATAAAAGTGTTCATGGCAGGTGCGACAAAGAATGACTTGCTACAGTCCCAGGCTCTTGCAATACATGTCACTAGATTGTCACACAACCCTTCAACAATTTATAACACAACATATATTTAAGTTACATGAATAAAAAAAAGTGGCAATTGTTAATTTTTAAAGGATAAATAGAAACATGCATGTAAAGCCTATATAAGAAGTACATACAAAAACTGGTGTGATACGCACGTGTACTAAACCTCGACACATAAGATCGTAGTTTAGGAGAAGTTCTTGCATCTGGACAACCATAAGCTATCAGATCACTATCTTCTGTAATCACCGCCGCAATACCATCTCTTTCTATCTCAAGGTTGGACAACTATGCTAATTGAGCATCAGCTTTATATGGAACTACAACAAACTCAATGTTATCTAATTTCAAAGTCTACAACACGATTACAAGAATAAATTACTTTAGAATGAACATTACTTAAAGATTGTTATTCAAAGCATTAGTATTCGTCAAAAAATTACTTGTTTACATCATACCTGAATTAGCTTATGTGTCATAAGGGGAGTAATGTTCACTGCTCTCTATTTAGATATTTTTTCATATAGGTATTTAGATATTTTTATCAATTATTTGTTATACTTTTTTTTTAACAATGATACTATTTTTATACAAATATCACAGTTATATCATATGTCACTGTTCCCAAATACAACAATCAATAATTTTTTTAATTTTAATTTTTAATATTTTTTCTCTTTCTAAAATAATTTTGATTAATGAAGTATGAAAACTTATCCTTTTTAGTCTTAAGACAATTACTTTTTTAAATTCATTTAACCTAATTTCTGATCTATTATTAGGTCAAATATATTAATTATTAAATAAATTTATAAAGTAATTGTCTCTTATAAATAAAATTAGAGAAAGTAGTTAATATAATTCTTAATTTAATTAATAAGATTTATATTTGAACACTAAATTTAAACACCTAAGATAAACACTAAATATACAGCTTGAATAAATGTTGGCTTGTATCAGTATTAACTATAAATAAAATAAAAAACTATAAAATATCACAACCGTATATACATATACGGTGTGAGACACCTCTTAGGTGTAAAGATAACTTTCCTATTAATTAATTTGTGTTCTAACATTAAAAAATAATTTTAAATAATTAAATAAAATTGATTAATTGAACATATGATATTTGTTAATACAATTCATAATTTGTGACATCAAAAAATAAAATTTCATGTGGTAAATTAACATTAATTAACGACATGTAAAATAATGATTAATACAACTCATTATTTGATTAATAAGTCTCTGGTCATAAAAAAAAGTCTTGAAGTATTAAAATAAATTTAGTCAATAAACTATAAAAGGTTAGTTAATCCAGTTTATAATGGAAACTCTAAAATAGACAGATGAATTAAAGTAAAATAACTGATTAATAATATATATTTTTATGATTAATGAATTGATGATATTAGTTAATAATACAATCTAATATTATGTTACAAAATAAATATTTATATTTTAAAAAATATATACTTAATGTATTCATGAGCAAATATGTAAGTGTAGGTGTCAAATATTGTGTCTACCATTGCTTGATAACAATAATAGCATAGAAGTGCCTATAACAAACATACAAAGATAAAATAGGACCTTATCTGTAGCTGTAATGTAAGGATAACATCATCTTTACTAAAAATATCCTCCTCTCAAACATTATCCCAAGCAAACTAGTTGAACACAGTGAACCAAAACTGTATCTTTCTGAAGAGAAGTTTTCCACAGTGAAGAACTAAGCTTCACCATGACATGCCTCAACCTCCATTCTCCATTGTTTCTCATGCATGCAAAACTCAAATTGCAGCAACATCATATAGGAATGGAGCATACTACAAAACTACTCTGGGGTGAAGAACCAAGCAGGACTAATCCACATTGCAAGAACTTTTCTTCAGCTAGTAATTCATTAAGGACTAAGGCAATTCCAGATTTCATTGTTGTTGCTGCTACTTCTCCGCCCAAACCCGGTGACCCGTCTACGTTTCTTCCAGTAAGGTTCGGTTTTTTCTATCCCTTGTTTATGGTGTCACAGTTCATTAACTATAGAAGATATAACAAGCTGAAACTTTTGTTTTTGTTTATACATTGCAGTGCCCTGCTTATATCAGTATACTTCATATCAAATTTCGTAGTGCCGGATATTATTACCAAATATTTTGGACTCGATAAAGTAACCGAAGACAAGAAGGTTGATGATGCAGAGGATAAATAGACAAGCACTCCTGATACGAAGAAAATTTGTATTACTCTGTACTGAAGATGGTAGAACAATGACTCTAGTTGTATGAATTTGTCTTTGTATCTTTAGTTTGCATTAAGATGATAAAAGGAAATTGTGTTGTTTTAAACTTTGTAGCTGTTACAATCTTGTGAAACCAAATTGTTCTTGCACCATTCAGAGAGGCGGTCTATAAGGGCACGACTATAATCAGTAGTAAATCACGACTCTAAGGACGGGTTGTGAGTGGCACATACAAAAAAAGGGAAAGAATGCAAACTAAAATATCACTTTAAAAAAAAGAAAAATATCCAATTCGTCAGATTTAAACAAATAAAAACACAACATTCATTAAAATTTGTACAAAATTCACCAACCAAGTATTGGGAAAAAGAATAAAGAAACTTTACAGTTATATGCGCTTAAAGAGGGGAGTGGGTATTTATATATATACAAGGAGAAGATGAAAATTTTCACACAATTGTCCAATCAGTTTCGAGAGGAGGTTTCTCGGAAGGAGACGGGCATCCAGACCTAGGAGGCTTCTTTGAAAATAAAGATGACTTGTTTTCAAAGAAACTTGAGAAAGATTGCCGCGCTGACTTCTCTTCATCGTTTGTTTGATCTTTTGATGGGATTTTCTTCGATACTTTATCTTTGCTGCTGAAGACAAGGCTAAGCCGCTTTAACCGGCTCTTTGGTTCATCAGTAACTGTAGTTGATTCTTCTGTCTGTTTCATCATCTTCAATGCTTCTTCAGGATTCAGTAACATTGTCTCCACTGTGTCATATACCTAGGCAGGAATATGAGTTGTGACCATTAATATCTCAATGTTTTTATAAACAAAGTCTAATTAGAAGAATAATTTGATGCTGTGTAACTTCGTATATTAGCCAGTCAAAAAGTACCCACCTGGACAAGGTCGTCAACTTTTTCATTCCATTTGTTGTTTTGGCAAGTAGCAATTATGTACTCCTTGCAGTCACAGAACAACTTTGAGAAATCCTTGCTACTAGACAGCATAGGTTCAGCAATTGCAAATCCTAACCCAAGCTATACAATCAGGACAAAAGGTTATCGTTAGAAAAGGCATAAAAACTGTATAACCGTGTGTGTGTGGATAGAATCAATCAACATTATTAGGTATCAAAGGACTGCTTAAATAACGGGCCAAAAAGAAAGAACTTACTAAAGAGACAAACAACTGTCCAAAAAGCTCTACAGGATGGATGTCTTCAAATGCATTGAGGATGCCCTCTCTACAAACGAATGCATAATGAAATTCAAGGAATGATATTAGGGAAGAATATAAATACAAAAATTGATTATTTACTTACACTGCCAAATCCTCGTCGAAGAGAGGCGCCTGTTTAACAGCTGGTACTGGTTTAGATGTTAGCCACAATTCACGCCACAAATTACCTATCATCAACAGCTAATGAAATTCAGAAGAAAAAAATCTGATATGCAATCAAAACAACTGAATTTAGATTGTTGCTTAGTTTTATCTGCATATGCTTTACCAGTATGTTATATGATTTTCAATTTAGGCAATATATATTTTATATAGATGCCATAAAGATTTAGATGCATCACACATAAGAAGCAAAGACTTTCAACCCAATGGCAAAATTTATAACCATAGAGCAAACAATTCTCAAGATTGGTGACAAGATACATTGGATAAGCTATATTAGCTTCAAGCAGATAAAATCCACAACTGTATCATATGCTGATGATCCAATAATATAAAAATAAAAACAAAAAATTGTGTAGCAGCAGATTTTAAGCATCAATATAGGATAAAAAAGACCATTAGCAGACCTTCTTTTTGCATACGCCGACTTAACTGGCCTCTGATCGACAATGACTCACCACTGTCAAAAACATCACTATCCTCAATACTAGCCTCGTTGTCTGTCCAGTCAGGAGGTGAGTGCCATCTTACAAAATCCTCCAAAATACATCCAGGATTCGCTGCCTAAAAACAGAACGAACTCAAGAAGATTAGGCATATTAAAAACAGTTAAAGCTTAGAAGCATTCATAACGAAAAGAAAAGTTCACTTCAAGGAAAAGCATTTCAAGAAAAAGCCTGACCTTGAAAGCCTGCATATCTGAGAGAAGTTGTGAGCAGCCAGCCCCAACACTGACCACAAAAAGTAAGTCAGTAATCAAGAAATGCCTAGTTGATACTAAAAATAAGGTATTACATAATGGATGCATGTCTGCAGTTAAATGAACCCAGCATTTGCAATACTAGTCACATGAGAAACAGACACACGGTCATCAATGAATTTCAAAATAACATTAAGCGAACATTATATTGACCAACTAGTTCATCAATTCAATTTATATAAACTATTTTAAAACAGATCTAAATAAACACAGGTATTATATTTAGATTCCCATACAATGGTCCTGGAAGCAATAGATGTAAGTCAACAGGTGATAGGTATAGATCATGTCAAACAATTCAAAAGGCATATTTAATCAAAAAGCAAGATGAGGTTATGACTCAGTCAGAAGGTTTGTGACATAAAACAGTGAGTTGGGATTTATATAAGGAAAACAAGAAAATGGATATATAATGTAAGGTAACAAATTGGGTCAAAGATGAATCCAGTTGTTCTACAGACCTCCCAGTCCGCAGCACAAACTCCTCTGTTTCTCTGATTAAATCTTCTGTAAGCAAAGGTCCTTCCTACATGAAATGATCACAAATATCTCAAGTATAATAACAAGTTGAAATAGCAATTATAGAGAACAATAAATGAATATATCAAACCTGGGTGACAGGAGAGTACACGGGCTCGCCAGTTTCCAACAATGTCAAATCACCAGACCGGCAATCAGCACCAAGTCGGAGAACACGCTCCCCGGTATTTATTTTAGCATATAAAATAGGGCCTGCAGGAGCTCCATCATCATCATTGGCTGATTCTTTAATGTCTGAACTAGCTTGCATCATCATAGATTCTAGAGATTCAGTAGCAATGATACGGAGCCTCTTCCGAGAAATACAACAATTAATTACTTGAAATTGTTGATACAGAAGACATGTTTTCAGATCTGGAATCTCGTTCTGGGGGACTCCAGGTAAATATTGTTCTTCAGACCAAAATTTTCTCAGCTGCATCAGTAAATAAATAAAATATTCTTCGTCAGCCATTACTAAAGAAGGAAAATTAAGGAGGAGCATTAACAGTCAAAGTTAAGTTCAAGTTACAAAATCTAGACCAGAGTTGATAAAGTATTTATATCTTTTCTTTTCTTTCAAGGACGGGCAGAATTAAAAAAAAAAAACATATAACAACAAGAATAGCTGAAAACCGTAAAAACAATGGGAAAAGAAAAACCATCACCACTAGAACAAAATGAAAAAGATCACTAACTTCTACACTAAGTACCAAAATAAGAGGAAAAGAATAAATAACTTAATATGCTAATCTAATATGAAGATATTAATTGTCCAAATCATGTGATCTAATATGAAGATATTAATCTTGTAATGACGATGCACGTAAGTTCTTAAACAAAGAGTTGCTTGATAGAAATATATATATCAAAGAAAGTATGATCAAAAACATATATCAGAACTACATTCCTAGATTAACAATTTATTGTTTATATGATATCATAACTAAAAGTTATTTTTGAGTTAAACATACTTCAGCAACAACCCTGCACCAGAAAAGAGCCATTTTTCGGAGGGTCTTGTAGTTTCCAATAACTTCAGCCAACTTTACGACAAGACTTTCAGGAGGAGCACCGTGAATATCTCTTGGCAAAGATGGTATGTCATTTTCCTCTGAACTGGAATTGATCTTCCTTCTAAGGAAATCTCCCTCTGCGAATATCTTGCAAATATTACAATGAAAGTGAAAGATCATCACAGGATAATATGTCAAAGGAAAAGTATAAGCATGAAAAGGTTGTTTGGTGCAATTACATTGTCACCAAGCCTCCTAAAATGCACATACCTGGATCAAAAATAGCGTTGATCAAATGCACAACTTTCTCATCGCTACTAAACTCAGAGGTAAGTTTATCCTCCTTTTCTCGCAACACTAAAGCCTTAACTGCAGAGAGACTTAAGCCTACCCTCTCTCTGGCAGGTGAAGAACTTCCCGATGAAGCTATAAAATCTTTCATGGACTTTGCCTTACTTCCAGCCCTGGTTAAAAGGTCAAAATATTATAATTGTACCATTAAGCTGAAAAAAACTTTGAACAACAGAAACAAGATTTTAATTTTGTTTGATTTATACAGACTTGCATTCAATAATTAAGTGCCTAAGAGAATAGGATAATCTCTACCACAGAAGTAGAACGTGACAACGTATAATAAAACTTTTGAGTAAGTAGTTTATGGTAAGTGGCGGGGAAAATGAGCAAGAAAAGGCAAAAGAATTGCAAACAATACTTACTCGACAGCTATAGACAATTGCTTCAACACAGAGGATGGAGGAATGGGATCTTTAGTCGCAGCAGTTAGGCCTTCTACAGATGGCATTGCTTCTGAAGCCTAAATCAATTTTTGTACACATGAATCATGAAAGCAACCCATTTGTATAATTAAACTGGCTAATCATTGAGAAAACCTCAACTATATCTTCAATCAAGTTATTGGAAAGATGAAATTAGCCATGAGATTCTTAACAAGCATACATTACAAATTCACCACAAACATGCCATGCATTCCTATCTTGCATATTAATTTACTCAGTTTGACAAAAACTATTTTGAAAACAAAAATTTTTCACATCCCACATTATCAAACTTAGCTAACATTACGAATCCTAGCCTAGTTCATAAACTTAAATTGTCATAACATAATCAGAATCCAAAGTCCTGAGTTAAAATGTTTCATATTTTCTTACCTTTGCCTCGAGATCATTCTTAACATTCAAGATATACAAATTTTCATCATAAAATGGCATGGCCATGTTTGCATCCCCAGTTTTATCTGTATCTTCAGCTTCTTCTTTTCTC